TTAGTTAATTGGCAAACGGTGTGTAAACCAAAAACTTTGGGTGGTCTGGGCATTCCGGATTTAGAGAGGTTTTCAAGAGCCCTCCGTCTTCGTTGGCTTTGGCTTGGTTGGAAGGACGAAAACAAACCGTGGGCTAGTATGAACGTTCCCTGTGATGATACTGACAAGAGGCTGTTTCAGGTAGCGACGACAATCGAGCTAGGTAATGCCACTAAAATAAGATTTTGGCATGATAATTGGCTCCAAAACAGCTGCCCAAAAGACATCGCACCCTTGTGCTTCAGGCTGGCAAAAAGAAAGCAAAAAAGTGTCCAACATGAGCTCCATAACAATAACTAGCTTGTCTCTTTCCGGCAAATAACATCAATAGAAGAAATCCATGAGCTTGTACGCCTTGGGAGCATGCTTCAGGGAGACATGCTTACTCCGTGCCCTGATGACATCTCATGGAATTGGAATGATTCTAAGGTTTACACAAGTAAAAGTGCTTATCTCTTTCAATTTCAGGGATCTTTTGTTTCCATAGATTTCTCTTCACCTTGGAAGGCGCCGGCTGAACCAAAAGTTAAATTTTTTGGTTGGCTAGTTCTCCACCAGAAAACTCTTACTACTTAAAACTTGCTTCGAAGACACTGGCCGTGCAATTGGATTTGTTGTTTATGCACAAGCGCCTTTGAAGACACTAATTATCTGTTTAGCGAATGCCCTTTCGTCAAGAAAGTTTGGTCCCTAGTCAGTTCCTAGCAACATTTACCTACAAGCAATGCTGGCCTTCCTGTCGGAACTTCAGATTGGTGGTCTCAAATTGATTGTGTGGGTTCAAAGGAGCAAAAGAAGACAATGAGAGGAGCCCTACTTACCACTTGGTGGAATGTTTAGTTAGAAAGAAATAGAAGAATTCTCACCAAATTTTCAATCTTAGAGAGAGCAGTGGAGCAAGATCTTGATCTCCGTAGTTCGGCTTTTTAGGCCCCCTAAATTTTTTGTTTGTGCTGTGTTCTGTTGTATCGTTTTTATTTTCCATTTCTGGACTGAACTGTTTTGTATTGTTTTCTACTTGTAATTAAATTCCAGCAGATCTCCTGTTGTCGTTCTCTAAAAAAAATCCTTAAGCAAACAAAGCCCCCGAACATTCAGTTAGTTATCCATTGATCAACATTCAGCTAAGAGTGCATCATAAATGCGTATAGTTTAGGTAGTTAATATTTTTCCTCAATAGTTTTAGCTAGGCAATGCATATTGAGACTACCATGTCCTTCAATAGTATGGAAGAGAAACGAGGACCCCTGTTAGTTCCATTAAACAGATCTCAATTATTTTAGATGAAAATCATGCTTCAACAGTCCCCCTAATCAACATCCAAAATTTGAGGAAAAAAACGTCGTTCTCAAGCAACACCCAATTTGTGGATCGTGCGGAGGCGCGGAGAAGAGGGCAAGCGCCGATCTCGTAGGGAGTTCAAGGTGGGCCTACCTAAAACATGTTTCAGAAGTTAATGACTTAGGACATGTTTGGATCATTTAGTCCCTGGACTAAAATTAATCTCTGGACTAAAACTTTAGTCTCCTATTGTTTAGATCCAGGGACTAAAAGAGACTAAAGGCACGTGGACCAAGAAAGAGATAAGACAGAGGCTATCACTTTAGTCCCTATAATTACCCAAACGATCCAAGGGGGCGGAAAGAGAGGGATTCGAACCCTCAGTAAAAAAAAAATTGTACAACGCATTAGCAATCCGCCGCTTTAGTCCACTCAGCTATCTCTCCCTGTTCCAAATCGAAAGGTTTCCGTGATATGACAGAGGCAAGAAATAACGATTGCAAAAAATCCTTCCTTTTTCTTTCAAAAGTTCAAAAAAATTATATTGCCAATTCCATTTTAGTTATATTCTTTTTTCTTAATGTTAATAAAAGACCTCCAAGAGGGACTAATGAATTTTAGTCTTAATATGTATTTTTAGTCTCTTTTAGTCATCCCTGTTTGGATTCTTAGGGACTAATGGATTAGTCCCATGAACCAAACAGGGCCTTAATTTTAGAAAATCTGTTGGATAAGTTTTTTTAGAATCTAAATCCAGATTAGAGATTTCTAAAGGAATTTTTGGATTTAGAATTTAATTAGGGGAACTGTTGGTGATACTCTTAGATAGTTAACACATAGTATCAAGCAAGATGTTAAAATACTACCATCTCCTATGTCCTTCATTAATGCGGAGAAAATACAAGGACATGAAGAAAATAAGGTGAGAGTACTATTGATTCAGTGGCTAAAATCGAGAATAAAACGATGTAAATTAGGGATAACTTCTTAGCCTAACAATACATTCTTTTACGGACGGAGGGAAATTCTTATGCTAATAAAATACACTCTTTTGAGGGATGGAGCATGATAAAGCGTATACACACCACTCTAACGGAAAATGAATTTAATGAATTTTATCCCAGCGGCAAGAGACAAATAAGATTTGACCATGATCACAACCATTCAGTTTCCCGAGTAGTTAATAGTTGTGGAAATCATTTATCAGCATATTCTTTCAAGGCAGTATTGCGCCATATCTATGAACAACCTAATCAAAACCACAAGGACATGATGGGTTTTAAGTTCCACATATAAAAGCCCCCTGATTCCTCGCAAGCTACCCCATATGCCTTTTGCGTAGCGGATCTTTGGAAACCTCCTTCCTTGCTTCTTGATTCTGCATTTCCCAAATCCCGCACGAACAAGGTAATAATGGCAAAACATGACGGCTCAACTTGGTAAGTTGTGTGTCAACTGCTCCCTCCATCCCAAAATGTTTCACGCCATTGATTTTTTTAAATATGTTTGACTGTTTGTCTTATTCAAAAAATTTAAGTGATTATTAATTCTTTTTCTATCATTTGATTTATTGTTAAATATACTTTTATATATACATATAGTTTTACATATTTTATAAAAGTTTTTGAATAAGACGAACGGTCAAACATGTTTAAAAAAGTCAACGGCGTCAAACATTTAGGGAATGAGGGAGTATAATTTCTACGATAGCATCCTTCCGAGGTGACATCAGTTCTTGTTATCCTACGGCAGTGAAGGCCATTGGGTCACTACAAATCGAAATAAACTAGGCGAAAATAGGTGAAAACAGGATTTTGGGGGAAGTTAGAAGATAAATTGACTCGTAAAGGGGTTTGTGTATGAAATTGAGTTGTAGGGGGGAAAATAGAAACACTAATGAGTTATAGGGGGCATTTGGATTTTCCCCAGTTATATATGATGGTTGGATGAGCTATTTCTTTTTTTTTTTCTGTTAGCACTTTTCTCAAGTTGTTAAATTATGTATTTTTAAAAAAATATTAAAAAGTTTATTTAAAAACCTAATAAATCAGTTTTTAAGTTAGGGTAGTTAAGTCTTTCTACAGGTAATGCTTAATTAATTATGCACCCATGAGTTATCCTATTTTACATGCCACTGCCAGTTCAACCAAAAGCTCTAGATAAAACGGAGCCTTAGCAATTAGATCTATCTATCTGTTATGAAAAAGAAAATAGTGAGATAACCTCTCTTGAAAGGATTCAAATTCAGGTCGGTGCACAGTGCAGTGTTGTGGAAGACGGTATACGGATATCGGACGGAGAGAGTACCGCTAAACGGTTAATCGGAATGCGGACGATTAATCGGAATTTGGCGGAAATATAACGTTTTGAAAGTATATGTACATAGTTGATAATAGTTTTCCCTTTTTGATAAACAAATGCATATAACTTAATATATTCCTTCTATATATATCCTTAAATAGAATAACCATATATGATATTTAAATAAGTTCATAATGGATAGCTGTTACTGTATATCTCAATTCTGACGTAGTGATGGGTTTTGTTCATAATGCATGAAATGAATTATCAAGAGAATGTAGTACATAGCATAAATGACCGTAATCAAGGTCCCAAATAACATATGTATCGGCTTCATCAAATACAAACTCCAATAACCTGATCATCGTCAAAATCAAGGAACTCATGTTCAAACTTTAGAGGAAGTCAGTTCCTTGTCATTTTACATCTTGCTGCCTTGTGAGAATTTCGGAAGAGCAAACTTCTAGTCAATAGTAGTAAAGGGCACAGCTAATGAGCTGGATTGTGGAATCGACTTTGTCATCACGCCGATTATACGGCTGATTAGACGGAGACGGACGATTTAATCGGTAATGATCGGATTTATGCGTTTGTTACCGACTAATGATGACCGCATCGGCGTGACGTGATGGACTGATCTCCGTATCCGTATTATCGGACGTATTAACGGCCGTTAACACCGTTTTCCACAACACTGGCACAGTGCACTGCCCTGGGCCCTGGCATATCTCCCTGCCAGCCGAGCTAGCAGCCGTTCTCCACAGATGGAAACATAAAACTTTACACTGAAGAGTCAGGACATACAAATACATATCTGCAGCAAGAAGCGAAACGCACAAATCGCACACAGTTGCAATAGTACAGCAGGGTGCTCATATAAAGCACGCTGATTTTTTTATTTAAAGGGAGAAAATTCATTTTTGTATTATATTCTTAAACGTTTCTCAAAATCAAGTTTCACTCCGAATTAAAAAAGCACTTACTTTTTATCTAACTTTTAAACCGGACAAATAACACTCTATTTCCTTTTTATTTTTGTTTAAAATGATGCTGGTTTTTCCTAGTGCAAACTTTTATTAGACATGAATGTTTTTATGACGTATATGCCAATATATATATGTCAATTAATAACTAGGTCCACACAAATAAAATTTACCTGATAATAATTTGCATTTACAAAACCACTATTATATAAATGAAAATCATTGTGAAAAATTATTGAATGTGCTATTTGTCCGGTTTTGAAAGTTAAAGGTAAAAAATAACTCCTTTTTAGTTCAAGGTGAAACATGAATTTAGAGAAAAGTTTAAGGGTCTAAATAGACTTTACCCTTTATTTAGTGATGTAGGAGAGAAATGAAAACCCCAATTAACAATCTTCAGCTTCCCTTGATATCAATGTCCAAATAAGTGTAATGGGGATGGTTGGAATGCTCTGCAATTGCTTTCTTCACAATGTGCTCCTCACATAGATTCCCAATAAACTCGAGCTCTTTCAGGCTTGGGAGGTGCTGGATTCCATGAAGAGAAGCCACCCTTGGGACTTTGAAAGCAACCCTCTCGAGCTTAGGAGCTGTGCCATTATCAAATATGACTGTGCTGAGGTAGCTGCCTTCAAATGAAAGATCAACTAGTTTCTTGAATTCGCTGTCACGGAATATAATTGTCCCCTCCGTCAACGCTTTTCGCAGGAATCTGAGACACTGCAGGCCACGTAGGCTACCCAGCATGCGCAGAGCGTCTTCTGTTAGGTAAGTCTCACGCAGGGTGATCTTGGCGAGTTGATGGAGTTCTGTCATCCAACGAGGAAGCCCACCTCTGGCACCTCTTATGTTTAAGGTTTGAAGCAACCTCGGAGGTGACAGCATATGTGAATCAATCAAACTGTACCCACTGCCACTGTTCTCGGCCTCACTCCCTGTCGCGCCTTCTATTATCCTGATTGACAACGAGCGCAGACAGCTTTCTAGCATCTGAATCTGGCTAAGCAAAAACTTCATCAGATCGACCCTTCCTCTATTGAAAACCACACCCAGCTTCCTCAACCTCCTGAGTCGGCCAAGATCAATGAGCCCGTCATCTTGGCTGGAGATCTCAACATGGTATAGCACTTCCATATCTGTCATAAAACTGATATCAGGCATTTTTACCGTGGAAAATGATTCACCGGATGGTGCCTCTTTTCCAGCCAGCAGATACTTAAGCCTAGGGAACACAACGTTTAACACCCTCACGTTGGTTTGGCGTATGTCCAGCGTCTGCAGATTGTGGAGTTCTTGGATTTGCTTGGGCAGATGATAAATACCAGTGTCCCGGAGGCTCAAATATGTGAGATGACGCGCCCTGGTGCAAATGACCTTCAGGTCTTTAGCTTGAAAACCGCTGCAACCCTCTAGATCAAGCACATTAATTAGATGAAGACCAGGGTGCGTGGCCAGTGATTCGACCAGGCTACGATCTCTGCATGCATGCAGGAATTCATTTTGAATGGAAATACGTTTGGCCATGTCAGGGAACAAATCTTCGTCCACTACACCTTCATCTTCCATTATCGTGGAAAGGAAGTCACGGACTATGCCATGTACTGTACAGCTCTTGAATCTGCCCCAGAAACTAGTACCAGTGAAGTCCCCAGCCGGAAGAAGAAATCTGTGGTTGCAAAGTGCATCGAAGCAGCGGTTGGCAACATCTGATGGTTCTTCTGAAGCAGACGTTACATCTGTTCTACTGATTAGACCCTCGGCAAGCCATCTTGTTGTTAAACTTGTCCTTCGAAAGGTGTGATTTCTAGGGGAAATAGCAAGATATGCCAAGCAATGCCTGTAATGACTGGGCAAGCTACGGTAGCAGAAGTTGAGCATTGAATTAGCATTCAGCGCCGAAGAAGGTTGCAAACTGTTGTTCAGGTCCCTCAGCTCTTCGATGTTCCTGTTAGGGTTGACAAACAGACAACGAAGGAGCATCTTCATGGTAAAGATAGATGGGGCGCACCTAGTTAGGATGGACTTTAGGACCTCCAGCAGATCATTTTGCTGGCTGTTGGCAACCAGGGAAACTGCTCTCTCCAAGAAGAAGTTGATCAGAGATTCTTTATGCTGCTCAGGGAAGTCATTGAAATCGAAAATATTCTGCGGGTTGCAGGAGGTGGCCGCCACTTGAGGTATACTTGTGACCAACAATATGGCACTACCAGCGTAACAGTTACAGCGGACAATATCTCCTATGTCGCTCATGAGTGACTCGGAACGAACATCATCAAAGACGAGCAAGAACCTCGTATCGTTGAGACGCCTTATGATCATGCCCAGGATTGAGCCTTGTTCCCAGCTGCTGACGTTCTCAACCCCAGGAACATTAGGAGCGATGCTCACCAGTATGGACTCGAGCACCTTTTTGCTAGACTGGTCGTCGCCAAGAGAGATCCAGTAGGCCGTGCGGCTGCAATCGGGATCGTACTGTCCGTACATATCATGCACTTTCCGTGCAAGAATGGTCTTCCCCGTACCACGTAGCCCTAGGATGGAGATGACATTCGGCTCTCGGTGTTGGAGGAAATGGACATATTGGTCCATCAACGGAATCCGGTCGAGGAGCTCCTTCGATACTTCCGTTAATAGGTCGGAGTCGTCGTCGGCCAATATGCGCCGCCTCTCGAGGTCTTCATGCTCGGATGCGGCACGCTGATGCTGCTGCTCGCGTGCAGGCACAGGCTCGCCGGGGATGGCGGCCTCAGGCTGATCCAGCTCTCCAAATGGTCGGCTGTCAATGGCTCGTGGGCGATGCTGGTCGGGGATGGCGTCCAGCTCCTGCTCCGGACGTCGTTCGGGCTGGCTGATTGGAATGATCATCTGCCGAGCAGGGCCAGGGCGCCACATCCACATGTCGATAACGCCATACCTCATCCGCCGCTCGCCCACGTCTCGTGCCCGGGCCGTGAGGTCCCGGATATGGGTAGCGAGCCGGTGGCGGGCCAGGATAGTGGCCAGCAACCGAGCGAAATGCCTCAAAGGCCCGCAACAACCTGCGTCGTGGGTGCCGTCGAGGCAGTACACGTACCGGTCGACGAAGAACTCAGATCTCACGGCCACGTCCCTGACCTGATTCAGCCAGGCGCGGACCTGGGGGTCGTTGTCTTCGTTGGCATCGGCGATCTTGAAGAGGAAGGCGTTCATGCTCTCCATTTCGTCCCTCATGAACTGCACGTCACGGCGAACGCCACCCAGCAGTCTCGTCTCATCGACAAGAACATTGCCGAGTCGGCCCAATAGAGAGTTGACGGCGCCCTGGGCGGAGCCTAAGCTGTCCATGCGATATCTCTTGCAGCAATATAGAGGAAATTAAATCAGCTACTCCACCTAGACACCTAGCTTAGCTTCGCTTGCGGGTTGTGGTTGTGGTTGTGGCTGTGGTTGTGGTCGACGCTTGCAGGAGCTTAGCCGGCCTGCACGATCGAGCACTGATAAGTGAAAGATTATATATATACTCGTTGCGACGACCATCTGCAGTAGGGCTAACTTGCACATTATGATATGTGAGCTAGGAATCTATCTATCTATCTATTATATAATTAATTAAAGGAATAGAAAAAGGAGCCTCCACGTTCGCTCTCATGGCCTAGAAATTCTCACATTAATCGGAGAAAAAGAAAAAACAGAGTCCATATAGAAATACAATTTACAAATAGCTGAAATTCGGAATTAAAAAATAAGGAATATTAGAAGAGGGGACTAGAGTCCATATAAAAATACAATTAGGAAATAACTGAAATTCGGAATTAAAAATAAGGAATATTAGAAGTAGACTATAGAGTCCATATAGAAATACAATTAGGAAAAAATAGAAATTCGGAATTAAATATATAATTTAAGGAATAGAAAAATGAGCCTCCACGTTCGCTCTCATGGCCTAGAAATTCTCACATTAATCAGAGAAAAAGAAAAAGCAGAGTCCATATAGAAATACAATTTACAAATAGCTGAAATTCGGAATTAAAAAATAAGGAATATTAGAAGAGGGGACTAGAGTCCATATAGAAATACAATTTACAAATAGCTGAAATTCGGAATTAAAAAATAAGGAATATTAGAAGAGGAGACTAGAGTCCATATAGAAATACAATTAGAAAATACCTGAAATTCGGAATTAAAAATAGGAAATATTAGAAGTAGAGTATAGACTCCATATAGAAATACAATTAGGAAATAACTGAAATTCGGAATTAAAAATAAGTAATATTAGAAGTAGACTATATAGTCCATATAGAAATACAATTAGGAAAAAATAGAAATTCAGAATTAAATATATAATTTAAGGAATAGAAAAAGGAGCCTCCACGTTCGCTCTCATGGCCTAGAAATTCTCACATTAATCGGAGAAAAAGAAAATACAGAGTCCATATAGAAATACAATTTAAAAATAGCTGAAATTCGGAATTAAAAATAAGAAATATTAGAAGAGGAGACTAGAGTCCATATAGAAATACAATTTAGAAAGAAATTTGGAATTAAATATATAATTAAAGGAATAGAAAAAGGAACCTCCAAGTTCGCTCTCATGGCCTAGAAATTCTCACATTAATCGGAGAAAAAGAAAAGACAGAGTCCATATAGAAATACAATTTAAAAATAGCTGAAATTCGGAATTAAAAAATAAGGAATATTAGAAGAGGAGACTAGAGTCCATATAGAAATACAATTTAGAAATAGTTGAAATTCAGAATTAAAAAAAGGAATATTAGAAGAGGAGACTAGAGTCTGTCTATATAGAAATACAATTAGGAAATAACTGAAATTCGGAATGAAAAAAAGGAATATTAGAAGAGGAGACTAGAGTCCATATAGAAATACAATTAGGAAATAACTGAAATTCAGAATTAAAAAAAAAGAAATATTAGAAGTAGAGTATAGAGTTCATATAGAAATACAATTAGGAAATAACTGAAATTCGGAATTAAAAATAAGGAATATTAGAAGTAGAGTATAGAGTACATATAGAAATACAATTAGGAAATAATATAAATTCGGAATTAAAAATAAGGAATATTAGAAGTAAAGTATAGAGTATATATAGAAATACAATTTAGAAAAAAAAATAGAAATTCGGAATTAAAAAAATAAGGAATATTAGAAGTAGAGTATAGAGTCCATATAGGAATTTAAAACTAACTAAAATTTAGAATAAACATAATAAAATTAAAAGTAGAGTTTAGAGTCTGTATAAAAATACAATTTACAAATAACTAAAATTCAAAATTAAGAAAAACATTGGAAGAAGAATTTAAGGTCAATATAGGAATACAAATATTGGAATATAATTTAGAAGCAACTGAAATTCGAAATTAAAAATTAAAGAATATTGAAAGATGAGTTTAGAGTCCACATAGAAATACAATTAGAAATAATAAAAATTCATAAATAAAAATAAATAATATTGGAAGAAGAGCATAGACTCTATATAAAAATACAATTTACAGAAAATTCGGAATTAAAAAAAGAAATATTAAAAGACGAGTCTAGAGTCCATATAGGAATATATATAATTTACAAATAACTAAAATTTGATATTAAAAATAATTAATAACTAACACGTATATAAAATATAATATAAATATTACACATTAGTAGTTTTGTAAAGTTATTGCAAAATTTAAAATTATGTTGTCATTTTAATATATTTGAATAATATAATGAGAAAACATATATGCTATTATATGAGAGAAAATATAATGATGCTAGCCGCGCAATCTGCGCGGGCCACTATGCTTGTTAATATTAATGTGGACAAGAGTAGACTGTTTGCCACATTGCATCAAGCAAACAGCTAGCACCACCGGGCCGGGGGCCGGTGGTATGCCAATTTTCAACGGGTTTTAAACAGATCAACACGGCCGCCAACAAGAAAAACACACCGGAGCGGTATATAGCCGATAATCTTTCCTCTGACTTCATATCTATTATATTATTAAAGGAATAGAAAAAGGAGCCTCCACGTTCGCTCTCATGGCCTAGAAATTCTCACGTTAATCGGAGAAAAAGAAAAAGCAGAGTCCATATAGAAATACATTTAGAAATAGCTGAAATTTGGAATTAAAAATTAAGGAACATTAGAAGAGGAGACTAGAGTCCATATAGAAATACAATTTAGAAATAGTTGAAATTCGGAATTAAAAAATAAGAAATATTAGAAGAGGAGACTAGAGTCCATATAGAAATACAATTAGGAAATAACTGAAAGTCGGAATTAAAAATAAGGAATATTAGAAGTAGAGTATAGAGTTCATATAGAAATACAATTAGGAAATAGCTGAAATTCGGAATTAAAAAATAAGGAATATTAAAAGAGGATACTAGAGTCCATATAGAAATACAATTAGGAAATAGCTGTAATTCGGAATTAAAAAATAAGGAATATTAAAAGAGAAGACTAGAGTCCATATAGAAATACAATTAGAAAATAACTGAAATTCGGAATTAAAAAATAAGGAATATTAGAAGTAAAGTATAGAGTCCATATAGAAATACAATGAAGAAAAAAAGGAAATTTGGAATTAAAAAATAAGGAATATTAGAAGTAGAGTATAGAGTCCATACATGAATTTGAAACTAACTAAAATTCGGAATAAATGTGATAAAATTAAAAGTAGAGTTTAGAGTCCGTATAAAAATATAATTTACAAATAACTAAAATTCGAAATTAAGAAAAACATGGGAAGAAGAGTTTAAAGTCAATATAGGAATACAATTTAGAAGTAACTGAAATTTGAAATTAAAAATTAAAGAATATTGAAAGATGAGTTTAGAGTCCACATAGAAATACAATTAGAAATAATAAAAATTTAGAATTAAAAAAAAATAAAAGACGAGTCTAGAGTCCATAAAGGAATATATATAATTTATAGATAACTAAAATTTGATAGTAAAAATAATTAATAACTAACACGTATATAAAATACAATATGAATATTACACATTAGTAGTTTCGTAAAGTTATTGCAAAATTTAAAATTATGTTGTCATTGTAATATATTTTAATAATATAATGAGAAAACATATATGCTATTATATGAGAGAAAATATAATGATGCTAGCCGCGCAATCTGCGCGGGCCTCCATGCTAGTTTGATTAATGCCCACTCAGTTCTTAAATACATGACGTTCTAGAGATCTTTCAGTTAAATCTATTTAAACCATTAATTAATGTCGTCATTAGTATACATGTTACTCCATCCATTATCGAATTACTAATGTGTTATATAACGGTCATCCCACTTTTACGACGAATTACATTTCAATGATTATAATATGATTAATTACATAGTTATATTTAATATGGTAATAATCGATAATCTGATATATTTTCAAGTATTTATAAATTTACCAAAAAAGAAAAGGTCAAACCTTAAAAGTAAACTCCCTCCATGTGGTGTCCAACTACGTTTGTTTGTTGGCTTGGTTGTCAAGCCGGGTAATGAAAATTTTACCTGCTTTTAAAAAAAAGAAAAAAGAAAAGAACTTATAGTGTTCATGTCAATTATTCAAGAATGGAGAGTATACACAATGTTCTAGTTCTCAGTCATACAAAATATTTAAGTTTTGATGTGTGAAAATTGTATTTAAATATTCAGTCCGAATAACAATTCCATATAGCTATATATATATTTTATATTTTTATAACTATATTAGTAAATAATGATCCAACATGTGCATGAATGTCCATATGTGTCAAGTAAAAAATAACATAGATACTCTCTCTGTTCTAAAATAAATTTATTTTTCATTCATCTCCCACATATTAATTAAGAAAAGAATATCCCTAATTTATCAATGCACAATGCAATTATTTCTCACTTTATTTACTCACAATGCATTTATCATCTACTTTTACAAACTCTAATGTCATGATTGCTTAAAAAAATAAACTTATTTGAGACACACAGAAGGGGTAAAAAAATGATTTTATTATGGGACCTAGGTAGTGTCCAGCCAAACTACGGTACAAGGATTATGTGAGATGTCATATAGTCAGGTTTGCAATTTATATCTATCATGTATTAAAAGTCGATGACATGCCTATCCATATACCAAAATATAATCTTGTACCATATACCAAAATATAATATTAGTACAAGGTATTTATTCATTTGATTTAATTAAGAGCTCCTATGCCCTCCCCCGTGTGGGCGATCGACTCGAGCGATGGAGAACCAGGGTTCACGATTCCGACGCGCCCCTTCCTCCCTTGTCCTCCGAGTCGCCACTACGGCACTACCGGAAAGCCATATGGTGTGCGGCGAGGTAGGATGGTGGTG